TTTCACTTTTTCTCCCATTCTTTCTACTAAAATTTGACTGCCTCATTTCTGAGGCCTCACTCTACATTGCATTGTAGTAAAACATTTAGAAAACAGTGTAAGGCATCTGCTTTTAGTAAGAATATGATTTTATGAAAATTTTGTTTGTCTTCAGGATGGGGTGTGTCAGACAAGGGTTGTGGGGAGTGTCTGTTTTATTTTTAGTGACAAGTACACACTGAAATCATGCTATACAGGTTGTACAAATTGAACTACTATGTCTTGTATATCCTTGCTATACCATGCTTCCAGGACCTATCTCAATTTTCTGAACCGTTCTTTACTTTGTGAATAGCCCTTTTTTGTGTAGATACTGGCCCAAGATCAGGGAACATAGGAAGACAAGTTCTCCTACAGTCTTGACCAGGATTATTCTCAGTAAAGAACTATAATTTGGAGTCTCTTTCTTCCCCTTTCCCAGTGAGACAATAATTTGTGATTGATTCTATTCCAATGCCGCAAATGTGGAATGAAGCCAGAACTAACCTTAATTCTTCTTATAACTGATTTTTCAGCATGAAACAATACAGGATGATAAATAGACATTTATGTTTGGCAGATCCAGTTTAAATCTTTTAGCACAGGTAGCTCTATATGCACAGTCCAGAAGTGCAGTTGTTGAATCTTTTGAGGTGTATAAATATTTTAGAAAGAAGTATCAAAGGTCTTGGTTGCTTCTCCCAAGTCCTTAAAACAAGTACAAAAGTTCAAATGCATCCAGTTTGTGTTCATTTGTGTTCTGACTCTGGAGTTGTGAAATTAATTTTTTCCCTTCTTCCAAAGTTTAAAAAGAGAATTATTTTATTAATAAATAAACAAGATAATTTTCCTAGCTGAAGATTACAGGTGACCTTCTGGGCTAAAACAAGTTGAAACTGTAAGTTGGTACATAATACTATCATTTAGGTATGTGAGGAAATCGAAAGCAGTCAGATGTTTAGGGTACAGTCAGTTTCACTCTTGTGAGAAAATGTGATTTCAAAGATTTATACTGAGAAAAATGGCTCAGAAAAATGGTTGCATGTTTCACAAGACAGGATGGAAATATTTAGTATTTCCGTTGAGGAGCAGACACTCTTTTGACTTAATTCTGAGTTTACAAAGAAAATCTGAAATGTCTGAAATAACAGTAAAGCACAGGTGGTTCTCAGTGACTAGTACAAAAAACCACCACCAACAAAAGTGGCATAGCCTAAATTCATGTATTCCTTTCCCTGTCCTTTTCTTTCATCTCCTCTCAAACAGATCAGTTGTATTGCCTTAAACTCATAGAGGAAGTCCATTACCACTCTCCCAGTGATAATTCAGTCCAGAAGCATTCTTGTACCCATTCTCGTTGAACCTCTCTCTTTCTGGCCAAGCGCTACTCTCAACTTTGATGTATCTGGGTTAAAAGTGAAACCTTTAAAGGGGTTTTATCGTAATTTATACATAATTAAGGTGATATAAAATTAAATTAGTAGTCAAAAGTTTGCCAATAAGGTTACTGGGATATTTCAAGAATAAATCAATATGACTCTATTCTACTCCTCTGCTGAGGACTAGAACAGATCCAAGATGATGTCCATTTTCTCCAGTAGGAGGTAGCAATGTTACCCTGTCACCTGTGCCTCTACCTGTTCTTGTCTTTCCCATGAAGCATATAAAATGTGGGGAACACAATTTTTTCCTTTTTTTAGGTATAGTTAATATTTGCCTCTTGGGGTCGCCTTGACTGACTCTTCATCTTCATTAATAGCTGAATTTAGCCTGTGCTCCTTGGCTTTTGTCAAGAACTCTACAAAATATTTCAGAAGTCAAGTGGATATTCTTATGACCTTCCTCAATAATGTGCTGTCTGTATATAATGCAATTTAATATTAGAGTACCACTTAGCAGTGCACATCACACAACATAATTCCTCATAATAAATTATCAGGAACATTATTTAAAACTGCATTCTGAAAAGAAAGTAGTTCATTGAACAGTATGGAAATTGTCTAGTGTTCTTTATTTATAACTATAATAGAACATTCTCCAAAACTAATCATGAAACAACACAGAAGTCATTCTCTTAGCATTCATACCTTCTAAGTAGATACTATTAAAAATAGCCAGTCTTAGAAAGCAGCAGATTATTCATTGATCTTGCAAATATCATTCATCATAATAAGGATAAAGAGTCTATTTTGCTGGCTTTAAAAATAGTTTACAGGAAAAGCTTTCTGTCATATAAATTTGGACTGGGGCAAATTTTAACTGAGTCATTGTATCAAGATATAGAAGTAATGTCTAAAAATGGATGGATATCCAAAACTTTGCATGTACTGAATTGCAAGATTATGACTGTTGCCTCTTTCCTTCTTCATGTTTGAAATGGCAGTAAATTAGACATAGCAATAAGGTAGGAGACAAGCATATAAGACAATTAATTCCCGAAGAGTAATTCAAACCAAATACATTGGGGTTAAGTTGCCCTTATAAATTTGCATAAAGTGGAATTGCTAAAATTATAGCTCTCAATTTTCTTTTTTGAATTAAATGTGTTATGGAAACGTATTTTTCAATACTTAGCTGAACCAATCATTGGTCTGAATTCCCCTGCACAAGTGGGATGTTGGTCGAGATCTCCTCAGGTGCTGTCCAACCAGTTGTGACTTGGTGATTCTTTGCAGAAATATTCAAAAAGCCTGATACCATTGGTCCAGTTCTCAATGTCAGTCACAATCCCATGGCTTTAAAAAGCTGCAAGGCGACTGAATGTAAGAAATGTATAGTCCTCTCATATAAGCAGCTGTCTTGACTGAGAGCTTAAGGACAGAAAGTCTAGAGCTAGATTTACTATTAGTGGTAGAAGGAAACTTCAGAAAGATACAAGTGAGTTTTGTGATACCTAAGTCAAGCCTCTCTCTTTTTTCAGCAAGTCTGCAATTTACAAGTGCACAGGTAAGAACACACCTGAAAAAAAATGTAGCATTACTTATCTTATGTTTATTCACCTTACTCTATGTGTAGATCTCAGCTTGTACAGTTTTCCTGGGGTTATGCTTTAGCAAAACAAAGAAGCCTTTCTCCCTGGCTTTTCTAGTATCTCAAAATGAAAGTAATCCTAATTAATCTAAGCCTGACCGGTTAATGTGATAAACCAATACATATTATTCCAGGAAAAAAAACATACCAGCTGAGATCTTCTTAAATGACTTGTCGGTTTGGTATTAGTTGTTAGTGACCTATTCCAATTTTGTTCACCCAGTTCTAAAACCAAACTGGTAGAGGCTGTTTCAAGTGGAGAATCCAAAGCAGTCACTTTATTTTAAAAGAAATATCTTGAAAATAAGTCATTCTTTTCAGGCCAAACCCTGACCTAGGCAGAAACTATGGAAGTTTATTTTAATTTCCTAAACTAAAAATCTGGAGCATCAGTTTCTCTCTTCCTGTCTTTAATTTTAAGAATGATACTACAATGGATTATATAATGAAAAGGAAGAGGATTTTTAGTGAAGAACATTATATGCTGGATTTCAGCTCTCCGGTGCTGTCTGTTTCCTTTTACTTGAAAAAAAACCACCCAAAACCAAAGCAAAAATAAAAGTCATGTTTTATTTTGTTTTGGTTTTTTTTCTGAATCAATACATGAATGTTATAGTGTTTTTTAGGTTCTTCCCCAGATAATACAAGACTGCAATAACAGCAAGTAGACTTTTGAAAATAACTGAAACATAAAGTACCCTCTGAGTGGTGTGGTTGACATGCTGGGGGGACAGGATGCTATCCAGAGGGACCTAGACAAGCTTGAGAAGTGGCTCCATGTGAACCTCATGAGGTTCAACAAGGCCAAGTGGAAGCACTGACCCTGCATATGAGTCAGTGCAACCCCCGGTATCAATAACGCTAGGGGATGAAGGGATTGAGAGTGCCTCTGCACAGAAGGACTTGGGTATACTGGTGGATGAAAAGCTGGACATGAACTAGCTATTTGCGTTTGCAGCTCAGAAAGCTAGCCAGATCCTGGGCTGCATCAAAGCAGCGTGGCCACCAGGTTGAGGGAGGTGGTTCTGCCCCTATACTGTGCTCTGGTGAGCCCCACCTGGCGTACTGAGTCCAGCTCTGGGACACTCAACTTAAGAAAGACACGGACGTGTTGGAACAAGTCCAAAGAAGGGCCATGAAGATGATCAGAGGGCTGGGGCACCTCTCCTATGAAGACAGGCTGAAAGAAGTGGGGTTGTTCGACCTGGAGAAGAGAAGGCTCTGGGGAGACCTTACTGCAGACTTTCAATACTTAAAGGAGGCTTATAAGAAAGACAGGGACAAACTTTTTAGCAGGGCTTGTTGTGGTAGGACAAGGGGTAATGGTTTTAAACTCAAAGAGATAGATTTAGACTAGTTATAAGGAAGAAATTCTTTACTGTGAGGTTTGTGAAACACTGGAACATGTTTCCCAGAGAAGTGGTAGCTACACCATCTCTGGAAACATTCAAGGTCAGGTTGGATGGGGCTCTGAGCAACCTGTCTAGTTGAAGATGTCCCTGCTCATTGCAGGGGCAGTTGGACTAGATGATTTTTCAAGGTCCCTTCCTACCCAATCCTTCTATGATTGTATGATTTATCCTTACAAAACATTTTAATGCATGCCACGGTTTACCTCCTGCCATCTACATCTACAAAAGTTCTAAAGCTTCCTTATTATTTAAGTAAATTCATAAACAGAGGGGAACTGAGGAGACATACTATGTAAATTTAAAAGCTTACACTGAACTGTTTTTCTTTTTTATAGTGCTTAAGCTCAGTCTACGATGTGCTATGTACTCAGCCTCAAAATGTAAAAAATAATGAAAAGAGAACATGATCTATCAGGTTGATCCACTGAAACTTTTCTCACCCTGTTACTCAAGTTATTTTATCTAAATATTTGAATATAATAGCTTTATTTTATTTTATTTGGGTTTGGTTTTTAAATTTTTTTTAATTTTTGTTTTCAGGCTGGCAAGAAGATAAGCAGTCTGGAGGAGGAAAGTAGTGGAAGACTCGCACCACAAGTGTGAGCAATAAGCAGTTTCAACCTGGTAAGTTTCTCTTTTATTTTCACTGGTGATGGGTTTTCTGATCCATGTTCTCTTTTAGGCTTGTTGTATCATCTCAGCTGATATTGTTTTTTTTTCTTGATGTTATATTTCTGTGTCAAATGTTGTAAACTTTGCCTCCTGTGTTAACAAAACATGGATACTCAATATCTCATTATTTCTTTGAGATGAAGTTTTGTCATGGATCTAAGTATTTTCAGTCACCAGCCAATGCAGTTAGCACAGAAAATTATTTTCTTGTCCTTTAACTGTTTACACAATACTCCCAAATTTTGCCCACTCTTGTCAGGACTAGATATTTTAATGTCAATAATTTTATGAGCTGAAGGGTCTGCTTTTAAAATGTTATCTTCTGCTTTATTCTATTGTTTTAAAATCCAGAGAAATACACTTGTGAGTTTTAAAAATAGTGTTCTAGGGGTTCAAATTGTGTCTTTCAAAGGAATTACTTACTCTAACCTTATTCTGAGAAATGTTTGCTTCAAGTGAGTTGACCTTTTATGAAGGAGTTATCTGTGATTTTTTTTTCCTCCCTAGACGAAAGGGAGGAATTGCATTTTAGCAGTGCTGTCTCTTTTGGGAGGAAAAGTACTTAGAAATGGTTAAGGACAATAGTCTCTAAGCTCCCAAAGGAAGTTGAACTAGCCCTGCTGTTATTTATACACTGGCATATGAGCCACACACATAACCTTTGGCTAATAAAGCACTGGGAAGTGGCAGGATAGTTTAGAAATTCAAAAAGAATTCAGATGAGCTGCACCATTTAATAGAAGAACATGTTCAAATTTATAACCTGAAAATATTTTAAAAACCCTGTTTTGGACACCTGGCACAGCATAAGGCTTTATGGTCTAAGAATGGATTTATAAATATATCAATTTTATCAGTAAAAAATATGCAATGAGGAGTTCTGGACTTACGTCAGCACTGGTCTTATCTGATCTCCGTTTTCATGTATATGTGTAAGTATATTCAATTATATAGCTTCTGTTGGTAAATGGATGATCTATATCCTTTATTTAAAGGAAACACAATAGTTTTCCGAGTTGAACTATGCTGTCAGTACCAACAATTCATCAGTAGTGTCTCACCATTGTACTGACTTTGAAAGTATATTTGATAATAATGAAGAAGTTAGACCCCTCCCTCAAAAAATGAAGTTCACTGACTCTGTCTTGAGATCAGTGATAGGTGGTAGAGATATAAAAAAAATAGAGAAACACAGGGTATATAGCTTTATCCCTCAGGAAGGACATTTCTTTTCCTATAATATGAATTTACTTGGACTGTTGAGTTCTCCAAGCTGAATGGTAAGTCCCCTGGTACTGTTACACCTATGCTGACTCAAACCCACCTTCTGTCCCTATAAACACAACCACTGTCACATTTTAGAAGTACCCTGAATTTTTTCTAGCTTGTAAAAATCCTACTTGCACTACGTAAAGAAAGATACTAAAAATTTTTCTTTTTCTTATAAATTTGTGAGGCAGATGCTAATTCTGGGAATTTACAGGTATTCAGTTCTTGCACATAATAGAGAATGGTCTATTATGGGCTCCTGCAAAAGCTATTTTTTGGCTGGATGCATTTGTCTTGGTCTGTTTCTCCACTTTTGGGAGTGCTTTTTCATCCAGAGTTTAGACTGGCCCTGGAACTTGAAATTTTCTTGACTTAACATCACCATCTTAGTCATGTTTCAGGTAGCACAAAAATATGGTGTTTTCCCTTCAGTGTATTTGAATTCCCAGCTATTCAGTCCTCCTTGAAGCTTCTTAGTCTCCAGAAAGTGAAAATACATCTAGATGACATCTTTAGAGAAGGAGACAATTGTAATTCTGTTACACAGAAGAGATAATTTTGCATGTATTTACCTGCATACCTCACTTTAGCATACCTCTAGAACTTACCTTTCAGAATTATTTTAAAGGCAGTTTTAAATATTTTAATCTTGAATTGCTTTAGTATTCTGAAAACAACTTTGTGTCTTCTGCTGTTAGATGAAATCAGTGCTTTGATGAATAATAATAATAGTATAGCAATCTTGATGTAGCTGGCTTTCTGCTTTGGTTCCCATTAGGTATAAGAAGATTTTTATTTGTTTGGTTGTTTTTTATCTATGAGGGTGGTCAGATCCTGAAGCAGATTGCCCAGAGAGACTATGAAATCTCTGTCCTTGGAGATACTCGAGATTACATTGGGCACAGTCCTGACCAGCTTGATCTGAATAGGCCTGTTTTGAGAGGAGGGTTGGACTGGATGACCTCCAAGGCTCCTTCCTTTCAAAATTATTCTGTGGATTTGTGATTCTATAGTTAGCATTGTATCTAGGAAGTAGGAGGCAAGTCTTATCAACTATTTTGCTTAATTTCACTAATCACGTCAAGCAATTAGTTATGAGAGTTTGACTAAACTGACATGAAATGTGTATTCTCTTCCTTTTTCCTGTTACACACACTAGAATATTAAAATCTTGGTGATTCTGAACAAGGTGCAGATATTGGATAGACAAATGTGCTTCCAGTAGATGTCTTAGAAATTTGTAAAGACAAACATTTGACTATCCTTATTAATAAGAATACATTACAAATTCCTGGTTACCAACAGGTGCCAGTTGGATCTAATTGAGGAGGAAAGGTTTTGAGAGTAACCAGCTTTTTATAAGTTTTCTATTTGAAGGAGTTTCTGGGGTTGTGGGAGTGCCTAGAACTAGAGTGTAGAGGACTGTAAAACCAAGTCTGTTGTGTATATTTATTAATGTTGTGTATGGTCTTTTTCTGGTGAACTAGTTGTTGTGGATTTTCTTAAAATACATGTGAAGTTATGTCATTCCACCAAGTAGGCAATAAATGTTTCATTCAAACTCAGGAGTGGCAAACCCAAGAGCTTAGTAGGCTTCATTTGTTTAAAAAGTGGTTTGGGAGAGATTGAACTGCAAAAACTGCTAAGGGGAAGGAAGCACAAGTTGTAATATCTGAATTTGATTAAGATCTCTTTTTCTTCCTTTTGGAACAAGGAGCAAGGAAGAGAACTGTGGGGAAAAAAGAAACATAAAACAGAGGGAAGAGCTTTCATCCCGAGTATGAGAAACAGACTCAGGAAGCTCCCAAGGCTACATAACACTGAAATGGAGATCCCAGCTGACAGCATACAAATGGTCTGAAATCATGGATCAGCTAAGAAAAAAACACTTTCTAAAACATAACTGTTTTGATTGTTTCTCATTTCTTTCAGAACTCTTTCCAAATTTGTAGTTAAGAAGGGAATCCTTTACTTTACAAGTTTGAGACTTGTGTTATACTTAAGACAGAGTTTAAGGTTTGTTAACATCATAGTGACAAATCAATATTAAGTAAAGAATTCTTGTACAGCTAGGAGAATATCAGGAACTGGTATGTGATCCCAGCAAAAATGCTTTTAAGTACTGATTTTTTGAAACACTGGTATAAGAGCAGAATCTTCCCTGATTGGTTTTTCTTCAGTGCCACCTTGAGAAGAACAGACAATAAAGAAGTAGCCTATGACCTTATACATTTTCACAGCTAATATGTGTGTTTTCAAAAGAATAAAACAAAAAAAACAAAAAAAAAAAAAAAAACAACAAAAAAAAAAAAACCCAAAATCAAAAAACACCCCCAAAAAATAAAAAAAAAAAACCAACCAAAAATAAAAAAAACATC